GTCATAGGTCAACTTCAATGCATGTGAGTGTGTCTTTCTCTGTATGTGTATGTGCCTGTTTGTGTTCGCTTATGCACGAATCCCGAAGTGATGGCTCAAAGTAATTAGGACAGCGAATTCAATGGAACCTTGAGGCCTATTCGTGTGATTGTGGGAAAATTCATCTACTACTCCCTCATTAGCTTAACGAAATGGGCCGAATAGAGTTATTATTATTTCCCACTATTTCATTCCATTTAAAAGCTGTACCAGCCCATGACGCAAGAGTTGGATTTCCTTTCTTTTGCCACCTACCTTCTGCTCTGTTTACTCCATCTTTTTCTGTCGCTTTCCGTTTTCCTTTTGCAATCCGCACTCACTTCAGCTCAAATGTTGCGGGCTCACCGGTCCTTCGGATTTCAACCGTTCCAAGGCCTGGCTGGACAACGGAAGGCATTATGTTGATGAGCATGGCTTCGAGTTCTCCGGCGATGATGTTGTCCTGCCGACGGCTTGTTGTCGATTCCGTTCCACAGACTTCATACTCTCGAGTAAGTCGTCCGCTCAACCATCGCCCATTCGGGGTGGTAACATGTGTCAAGTGTATTTCTCTAAAGTGGCATAAAGTGATTTGCGGACTGGTGATTGAATGTTTCCACAATTGCATCACTAAACCGCATGATTCAATTGAATTTCAAGTAGCCCTGCCTTCCAGGTGTTCTCAGCTCTCGTTCAGGCAATACCAGTAGCTTCGACACCTACTTCATCCATATATAAGTAGTGTAGTCGATTTTAATGGCAAATATCAGCTTGCTTCATCGGTAATTCTACCACACAAGTGTGATATGGGAAGGACCTGACCTGCCTTGAATGTCACATTCACCCTGTGACCAACTGGCGCCCGTGACAGAGTGGCAAAATGGTGGCACGCCGAAATTATTCTCTAAATTACCACAAACCGAGTTCGATTTGCGTCTAGAGTCCAGATGAGACCAAGGCAAAGAAGAAATTGCAATCTAGTCCGGCAGGGACGAGAATACATTTTGTGTTGTGTGAATCCAATGGAACTGTTAGGCTTACTCATTAAAATGAGGGAAAATACAACTATCACTCTTTCATAACATTATGCGACCTGGGCTGAATACAGCTCGTATTCACGATTTTTGATACTTTCAAAGCCTAACAAATGCATATATTGTTTTAGAAGTAGGTGCCGAGATGACCAGTAGATCTGATTCTAAAGCTGTATTCTGGTAGTTGAATTCTCGCACAATCTCATGAGTAAGCCCAATGCTTTCCGCTTCCAAAAATGTGTTCTCATCCCGGCTGGAGTGGATTGCAGTTTCGACTTCACCTCAACTAGTCTCATTTGCATCCCCAATGGGACTCAAACCAAGTTTGTGGTAGCACAGCGTATAGTCTCGACACTTAAACCATTACGCCAAACTGCTACGACTGCCTTTAGGTCAAAGGGCAGAAGTGAGGTCAACTCATCATATTGTAGAAATATTTAAATACCAATGCTTCATAACCTCAAACTAAATAGAGTGAATACAGCTCTTTTAATTATGTATACAGGAAGTCTCGATGCCTAAATATAAAAAACAAGAATAAGTAATATCGTCTATTGTAGTTACAAATAGAACTTTGCTTAGTGTGCAATCTCACGGCAGAAATGTGATATGGGTAGTTGCTTTTTGCCATGTGACCCGCAGGCACATGACATGACAAAATTATTTTATGAATTAAGTATTGTTTTTGTGACTACCAGTAAATCAGTAATATGAGATGTATTCATCCAATTTCGTTTAAGGTGAAGAAGGACTGGTAGAAGAAGAATTTTCCCACAATGATTTGAGTTGAGCAGACGTTTTCATTCAATTTCACATAGCCTTGCTTTCCCAAAAGTCGTTCTCATCCAGGCACCAGTAGAATGCAGTTTCGACCTCGCATTGGTCTTATCAACAGCCTCAACAGGAGTCGAACCGCGACAGTGCAGGATGGGAGCTTGACACGCCGACCACTCGGCTACACCGACGTGATCGCCTTTTAGGTCACAGGGCAAATGTGAATTTTCAAGGAAGGCCACGACTTTTTGCCATATCATATTATTTTGGTGGGATTATCGATGAGGCAAACGTATATTTGCTACGTCAGCTTAACTCATATGATTGTGGGAAAATTCGTCTTCTACCAGTCCTTCATCACCTTAAACGAAATTTGGTGAATACATCTTATACTACTTATTTACTGGTAGTCACGAAAACAATACTTAATTCGAAAAATAAAGTATACCAGTCGATTGTTATAGCAAATATATGTTTGTTTCATCGACAATTCCACCAAAGAATATGATATGGTAAAACGACCTGGCCTTTCTTGAAAATTCACATTTGCCCTGTGACCCAAAAGGCGCTCGTGGCAATGTAGCCGAGTGGTTAGCGTGTCAATCTCCCATCATGCATTGTCGCGGTTCAAGTCCCTATGAGGGTGTTGATAAGACCGATGCGAGGTCGAAACTGCAGTCTACTGGTGCCTGGATGAGAACGAATTTTGGGAAAGCAAGGCTATGTGAAATTCAATGGAAACGCCAGCTCAACTCATATGATTGTGGTAAAATTCTTCTTCTACCAGTCCTTCATCACCTTAAACGAAATTGAGGTAAGACCGAAACTGTAGTCAACTCCGGGCGGAATAGGAATACCATTTTATAAAAATCAAGACTGTGTGAAATTCAATGAAAACATGAGGCCTACTCAAGTAATTGTGGGAAAATTTAACTCCTCTTTCGGCCAAATTGGGTCATTTTCAGTTTCCTTCCCTCATGTATTCATACCCCAGCTTTCTTAAACAATGTTTTATGGGTCCGCAAGGCACTCTTTCGGATTCATCGCATCCCCGATTCGGCAAAACGTGCTCGGGGGCTAATATTTGGTTCCAGTTGATATTTTTCGCCTCTGATTCTTTGTGGATGGCACAAATCTGCAAGTTTGCACTGGATACTGAGGCTTTAACGAAACATTCCTTTAGTT